ACCATATAATTGTTTATAGTGTTTGTTAATGATCCTTTGTATTTCTGTGGTGTCAGTTGTTACTTCTCCTCTTTCATTTCTGATTTTGTGTACTTGGGTTCTCTCTCTTTGTTTCTTGGTGAGTCAAGGTAAGGGTCCCTCAATCTTGTTTATCTTTTCACAGAACCAGCTCTTTGTTTCATTCATCCTTTAAATTGTTTTTTTTGTTTGTTTGTTTCTGTCATTTATTTCTGCTCTGATCTTTACTATTTCCTTCTTTCTACTTGCTCCAGGGTTTTCTTTTTGTTTGCTTTCTAGTTTTTTAAGTTGTGAGATTAGATAGTCTATTAGAAATTTTTCTTGCTTCTTGAGGTAGGCCTGTAGTGCTATGAATTTCCCTCTCAGAACTGCTTTCGCTGCATCTCATGGATTTTGTGGTGTTGTGTGTTCATTGTCATTGTTTTGCAGAAAGTTTTTAATTTCTTCCTTGAGCTCCTCAGTAACCCATTCATTGTTGAATAACATGCTATTTAGACTCCATGTCTTAAAATATCTTTGCATGTTTTTGTTGCAATTGATTTCTAGTTTCATGCTATTGTAATCTGAGAAGATGCTTGATATGATTTCAGTCTTTTTGAACTTGTAGAGACTTAGTGTGTGTCCTAACATGTGGTCTGTCTTTGAGAATGTCCCATGTGCACTTGAGAAGACGGTGATTTCTGTAGTTTTGGGGTGTAATTCTCTGTAGATATTTATTAAATCCATTTAGTCTAGTGCTTCATTTAGAGTCTCTGTCTCCTTGTTTTTTGTTTAGGGGATCTATCCAGTGATGTCAGAGGGAGGTTGAAGTTCCCTGCTATGATTGTATTGCTGTTGATTTCTCCTTTGAAGTCCTCCAGAAGATTTTTAATATATTTTGGTGCTCCTATATTGGGTGCATATATGTTTACCAAGGTTATATCTTCCTGTTGCATAGATCCTTTCAATATTATGTAGTGACCTTCTTTGTCTCTAGTTATGGCCTTCATTTTGAAATCTATTTTATCAGATACAAGTATTGCTACCCCAGTTTTTTTTTTCTTTCTGTTTGCTTGGAAGATTTTTCTCCATCCCGTCACTGTCAACCTATATGAGTCTTTTGTTGTGAGGTGGGTGTCTTATAAACATATATATGAGTCATGCTTTCTTATCCAATCAGCTACTCTGTGTCTTTTTATTGGGGCATTCAATCCATTTACATTTAAGGTGATTGTTGATATGTACTTATTTATTGCCATTTTTGTTTAGTGTTGTTATATTTTTATTCCTATTTCTCCTACTAATTACAGCAAGTCCTTTTACCGTTTCTTGCAGTGTTGGTTTGGTGCTAATGTATTTCCTTAGCCTTTTTTTGGCTGGGAAGCTCTTTGACCTTCTGTTTTGAATGATAACCTTGCTGTATAGAGTAGTCTTGGATTCAGATCCTTGTTTTTCATGACCTGTAGTGTTTCTGTTGAGAAGTCAGCTGATAGCCCTTATGGGGGTTTCTTTATAGGTATTTTGTTGCTTATCTCTTGCTGCCTTTAGGATTCTCTCTTTGTCTTTAATTTTAGGCATTTTAGTTACTATGTGTCTTGGTGTGGGCCTGTTTGGGTTCTTCTTACTTGGGGCTCTCTGTGCTTCTTGAACTTGAATGCCTTTTTCCTTCACCAAATTAGGGAAGTTTTCAGTCACTATTTCTTTGAATATATTCTCTAACCCTTGCTCCTTTTCTTCTTCGGTGACTCCTATGATGCGAGTATCATTACGTTTTCAGTTGTCCCACAGTTCTCTTAAGCTGTCTTTCTGTTTTTTAATTATTTTTTCCTTTTGGTTTTCTGATTGGTTAATTTTTTTCTACCCTTTTATTTAATTCACTGATCTGGTCCTAGGCTTCCTCTACTCTGCTGTTTAGACCTTCCAATGTGTTCTTTATTTCTGCTATATCATTCCTCATTTCTTCTTGGTTGTTTTTCATATTCAGTTGTTTGATTTTCAATATTTCTATATCTTTACCCATGGTGTTGATGTCCTTACTCATGCTGTTGAGCTTTCTCAAGATCATGGCTCTGAATTCTATGTCTGATAACTTGCTTAACTGCATTTCATTTATCTCATTTTCGGTAGAGGTCTCTTGTTCTTTTATTTGGGATTTGTTTCTTTGTTTCACCATTTTGGCTATCTCAGTGAGTCTTGGAGCCTTCCATATTTTCCTTGTGGGTGTTGGTGTTTTGCTGTTTGTGGCTCCTTCTACTGTGTTAGGATGAGCGTGGGAGGACCCATGTTAAACACCACTGTCAAATCTTACTTTCCTGGGTAGATTTGCAAGCCCAGGAAGAGGCTTTCCCAAGGGTGGGGCAGATGCTGGTTGTTAATTAGCCTCAATTTGCATTTCAATGGCCCACCTGGCGAGAGAGGGGCCGCCTCTCCTCAGAGCCCTGGGAAGGAGTAAGATGGCCACCATCCTGAGTGACCACAACTCAGCAAAAGCTCTGAGCACCCTCCAAATCCCGAGTGTCCCCACACAGTTCTAGTCCATTCCACCCTCCCTTTGCCAGAGCCCAAGGTGAGTGGCTGTGGCTATTTTAGCAGTCTGTCCAGGCCCTTTGCGCTGTGGAGCGGGCTTGGGATTTTAACCCCAAGGGCACTGCTTTCAGCTAAGACCACGGCTGTTTGTGGGCTCCCAGCCCCTTTCTCGCATCTCCGCATTCCTACCAGGATTGATTCAGTGTCTCTGGTTACATGGTCCTTGCAAGCTGCTTTTCTGTTGTTTTTTCCTGATGTTTTGTCTTTATTTTAGTTGTAATTTCAGTTTGGTCCTGGGAGATGGTCTGTGTAGCTTCCATTCACTCTGCTGCCATTTTGGAATCCAGTTGTTCATATTCTTACCTGATTACATGTTACTGTAAACATAAAAGACTATTCAGGTTCATTTTACCTATCATTTCAGAAATGGAGGGCTTGAGACTCAGAGCTTCTGTTACTTGATAAGCTGACATAGATTATCTCTAGTTCTGCATAACTTCATAAAGTCAACCTTTTACAAAACTTCTTTAGACCTAGAAATAGATCTAAAGGCTAATTTTTTATTGGTCATTTTTATTATCTATGTCATATTTAGTCCTAAATTTTTACAATGTAATTCCAAAATATGCTTTGAAAACTACAAAATATTTCTTGGTAATATTACCAATACAAAACTCCAGAGAGTATTTTCTACTCTAGTTATACAGATTTTTAGATCACTAGGTCAGAACTTTGTTGATTTTTTTTCCCCATTCTATTCATTCCCTTAAAGAGGATATACTGTTTAGCCAGTGAGATAACTAGGTAACACAGAATTACTTGGCCCAAAATATCAGTGGTGCCACTGTTGAGAAACCTTGCTCTAGTTAGTGTTTGTTACACATCTTTAATTTATCACAGTGCAACCTTCACATGTTATATTATGTCTAAGTAAATATCTTACAACAGTAATACTTCAGTTTTCTTTCTCCCTCCTATCCTTTGTGCGAGTTTTTAGTGTTTCCATGAGGGAAAACATTAACTTTCTGAGCAAATACGTAGGATCTTTCTAGTCCTTCCAGGCATTGCTCAGAAAGTTAATGTTTTCCCAGACCCTAAGAAAAATCCATTGAGAAATTGATAAAACAAAAAGTATTATAATACTTCTGTGAGATTTAAACCTTAACAATCAACATAGAGATCTTAGTATTTCCCAGAGTCTACTGATATCAATTTGAAAGCAAGGTCAGGAAATGATGACTTGAGTTAAAAGTTAAGGTTGACATTCCCAGGAACTGATAAAGAAGTGGTCATGATCTAATCAGTTAGTCTTGATTGTAATTGTTGCCATGTGTTTTGTAGCCCTGTCTACTATTAATGGTGAGTCATTCTTGCAAATAAAATAAATATTAGTATGCTAATGTGCATAGTATACTTTATATAAATTCTGTGAGTAATATTTGAGGAAATAAAAAATATTGGTAGCATGTGGTTTTCAAGAACAATTTTTCTTTTTTGGTGTGTACATTATTTTCTAGGTCCTGTAGGTACTCCATTGTTGATAATCATTTGCCATCACATTTCTGTCCCAGTGATTGAACCACTGCCACACAAGCAAGCTATATAGCACTTCCTAGCCAATCTGCCAATTGAAGGGGGAGAGTATATATTTATTTTATTTTTTTTATCCTCACCCGAGGATATTTTTCCATTTTTTTTACAGATAGAGTGGGAGGGAGAGAGAGGAAGGGAGAGAGAGAGAGAAACATCAACGTGAAGGGACACATTGAGTGGCTGCCACCCTCACGACCAACCAGGGCCGGGGACAAACTGCAACTGAAGTACGTGCCCTTAGCGGGAACCGAACCCGGGTCTCTCCGGACCACAGGTCGACGCTCTAACCGCTGAACCAAACTGGCCAGGGCTATATTTATATTTTTAAATGCTTCTTGATTGTAGTCAAAATTTCAAGAGTATCTATAGTTTAGATTATAATCTCTTCTGAGGATGATTTATTGTACTACTAAGATAGAAGTCTGTAATCAAATTCTCACTTATTTCTCCCAACTGTTATCTAGATCCCTAAAGAATGGAATTCCCTCATAATTAACCATATATGTGTGTGTGTGTGTGTGTGTGTGTGTGCATATACTGTATGTGTCTCTCTATATATATGTATTTAAGAAATGCATATCCTTTTCTCCATAACACAAATAAGTAAGAATTTGAACCCTGGAACTTAATGGACAAAGTTGGCATATACAGTTCCAACTCTAACACTTTATTTTGAACATCATATTCCTCATTTTTAAAATGTGTATAACAATAATAGTATAATAATAACAATAGCAACTCAGTTTGGGAGTAGTTTAGAACAAAATGACAAAAAATGTATGTAAAGATTAAGTATATTTATTTTCTAAATAAACTAAAAAACTATAAACTAAAAAATTCTGTTGATACTCTCATTTAACTACATGTTGTTTGTTTTCTTTTAGGTCAGAGATGCGTGAGAATGGAAGACATGGCAGAGAACTAGAAGAACATTTCTGCTTTTTAGCACTTCCTAAGAGTGATGTGACTGAGATATATAAGAATGGGATAAGTACCAAAGATTCTACATTGAAGATATTAGGAAATCCTCTTCTTGGAATTTATATATTTAGACATGTTGATGTTGCGTTGAATTATGCACATAGTAGAAGCATTAATGTAGAAAGTATTATAGTTTTTAAGGTAGGTAACTTAAAACAAATATTAAATATTATATTCAGTTTGTTTTAAATTCACCTGGACATATGAATTATTATTAGTGTTTTTAAGTTATATAAAATAAATAATTGTATTTATTATTGTCATCATTATCATCATTCAAAATTCCTCCTGTATAACTCTAGTAGGGTGTGCAGCATAAAACAAAATTCCAAGTAAGCAAAGGTAGCTTTTATCATCTTTGTCTTCCTACTGTCTATATTTTTCTGTCCTAAGTGACCCTCTTTCTTTCTCTTGTTCAGACAATAAATGTCTGAGTATTTTAAGTGTCCTCCTTCAAAACATTGGTTATAATTATTCTGGCTTAAGCTAAAGTTACTAAACTGATACTGTTTATTTTACTTAATAGTATTATACAATACTGATTTTTTAGTTTTGATAATTTTGCCATGCTTATGTAAAATGTTAACATTAGGAAAAGCTGGGTACAGGTGTACGGAATCTCTGAAGTATTTTCAACTTTTCTGAAAGTTTACTTAAAATTGAAAACAGTAAGTCTTATTTATAGTCCAATCTTAAACATCAGTGAATTGGTTAAGATATACTTTTTGGTTAATTGCAGCTTTACCAGAATTACCAAAATCTCAGGAGCTAGACAGTATGCTCAGTTGTGTAACTTAGGATGTGTGTATATTCATGTAAAATCATTGGTTCATTTGGTATAATTTCTTATATTTTTAGATCTCAAATACTATCAAATTCATAAAGCATAATTTATTTTTATATTAAAAAGTAGTACATACTAATTCTGGAAAATTAGGAACATACTAAAAAACTCCAAAAGCCCATTAATGACCACAGTTACTTTTACTATTCTTAGTAAAAGTACTGAGTTGTATTACTTTGTCCTCTATTCATGTATATGGATATGCATGTATAAATGTAATTAAAATATATTTTTACTTTGTACACTATATAACTTGCTTTTTTTATTGATTATAAAATGAACAGTTTCATGTCATTAAATAAATATTCCTCTGTAATAGCCTTTGGAATGACTGTATAGTATTCCACTATACAGCTCTACCATAAATTTGTATAACAGATTTTTTAATATTGAGGTATAAGTTACTTCTGGTTTTGTTTTTGTTTTTTTTGGTTTTTTTATATTTTTATTTTTTTTATCCTCACCCGAGGACATTTTTCCATTTTTTGTTCAGATAGAGTGGGAGGGAGAGAGAGAGAGAGAAACATCGACCTGAAAGGGACACATCAAGTGGTTGCCACCCACACCACCCAGCCAGGGCCGGGGACAAACTGCATTCAAGGTACGCGCCCTTAGCGGGAACCAAACCCGGGTCTCTCTGGACCGCAGGCCAACACTCTAACCACTGGCCAAACCAGCCAGGGCTGTTTTTGTATTTTTAAATACTACTTTGATCATCCTTGTAGGTACATTTTTACACACACCTATGATTATTTGGTAACAATTGGTTAATTTTTAGGTGTTAAATTAGGAGTTGAAGGTATATATACTTTTACAACTTTGGATATGTAATGCCCAGTTGTCCTGAGAAAGGTTGACATTTCTTTGAGAGTGACATTTCTTTGAGATACAGAAATATGAGAGAATATCTGTTATCTCACACCCTCACTAACTCTGTATAAAACAGTTAAAAAAACTCTTTGCACCATGGCTGATATGGCTCCAGCGGTAAGAGCATTGCCTCCTGGACCAAGGAGTCCCGGGTTCGATTCCGGCCAAGGGCGCGTGCCCTGGTTTGGGTTGTGCAGGTGGCAACCAGTCGATGTGTCTCTTTCACATTGATGTTTCTCTCTCTGTCTTTTCCTCCCTATCTCCCTCCAGCTCTACCTGAGGATTAATGTGAGAGTGTCCTCGGGTGAGGATTTAAAAAAAAAATTCTTTGCTGCCCAGCTGGTGTGGCTCAGTTGATTGAGCATCATCCCATGGACTGAGAGGTCCTGGTCCAATTCCCGGTCATTGCATATTGCTGGGATGCGGGCTCAACCCCCAGTAGGTTTTTCTCTCACATTAATGCTTCTATCTCTCTCTCCCTTCTTCTCTTTCTAAAAAAATCAATAAAAATGTATTTTAAAATAATTTTTAAAAACTCTTTGCCAGTCTAATATGTGATTGTTTCTAATTGGCTCAGTTATTTGTTTTTCATAGTTATTTCTGTTTATACATTCTGCATATATTCATTAACAGTAACTAGGGAATTGCATGTTAGTGTCCGTTGCCATTTTTTTCTTTTTCTTTTTTTCCCTAGTTATTTGTAAGCATTATCAATTTATTAAAGCATATTTTGAGAGCTAAGCTTTTTCCTGTATGTTTTATCAGTATTTTCTTACTTTCAAATAAACTTTTTATATTGGAGTAAATTTAAATTTATAAAAAAAGTTACAAAAGTAGTACATAATATTCCTATATACAATTCACCCATGTTTTCCCTAATGTTAACATTTCACATAACTGTAGCACATTAGTCAAAACTAAGAAACTAACATTGTGTATGTCAGTTATATCTCAAAAAATAAATAAATAGAATGAAAAGAAACTAATATTGGTACAGTACTATTAACTAAATAACAAACTGTATTCTGTTTGCCAGTTTTTTTTCCACTAATGTTTTTTCTCTCCGGTGTTCAAATGTAAGATTCCACATTACATTTAGTATTGTTTTTAATTTTGAGTGACTGTATTAGCATGTTTGAAAAATAACAGTGATAGAATTTCTGACTTTAAATAAAATGTGACTTGTTTCATATTAATTCCATTTTCTTCCTCGTTGTCTTCTGTCGCTTAATTACGTTCATTTTTAAAATTTGACCATTATTTAGTTAATCCTCACCAGAGTATATGTCTTTATTGACTTTAGAGAGAGAGAAAGGTGGGGAAGGGAGGGAGAGAGAAAAATATAAATGTGAGAGAGAAACATTGAACATTTGCCTCCTGTACCCACCCCAATTGAACCCGAAACATAGGTATGTGCTTTAAACTGGGAATTGAACCCACAACTTTTTGGTGCACATGATGACGGTCCAACCAACTGAGCCACCTGGGCAGGGCACACTTATTTATTTATTTATTTATTTATTTATTTATTTATTTATTTATTTATTTTTGGTACGTGCCCCTAGCGGGAACCGAACCTGGGACTCTCTGGTCCTCAGGCCAACGCTCCAACTGCTGAGCCAAACCGGCCAGGGCCACTCATTTATTTTTAATGTACAGTGTTCAAATATTTTATTTTATTTTTATTTGTTAATTCCCATCTGACAATATTTTTACATTAATTTTTAGAGTGGGAAGGAAGGGAAGGGGAGAGAGAGAGAGAGAGAGAGAGAAACATCAGTATGAGAGAGATACATCGACTGGTTGCCTCCTGCAGGACCCCGATCAGGGCCAGGGATCGAACCTGCAATCCTGGATATGTGCTCTTGACCGAAAATCGAACTTGAGATCCTTGGGTCCACAGGATGACACTCTAACTTCTGGGCCAGACTAGCCAGGGCCTGTTTTCAAATATTTTACAGTGAAATCTATGTTTTTGTTTCATGGTTTCTTGGTACACATGCTTAAAAAACAATTCTCACATTGGGGTGAGATAAAGATTGGGTGATATTTCTACAATGTTTGCATTACATAAATATATAACTTGTTTGGTATTTATTTTGATTTATAGATTAGAAAGGAATTTATTTTTTAGTTGTTTTAAACTATTTATTAAATGATCTGTTTTTGCTTCACTTATTTCAGATGGTGCTTTCAATATCATACAGTATTTTTGTAGATGCTTCTATTTAACCTGGGTTTTTTTTTCTTCCCTGCTTTTATCTCTCCTCTGCCTTTTCTTGTGGACGTTCCTTCTTTTAAAGTGTATTTAATATCTGGAAGGGCAAGTCACTTGTTTTGTTCCATTGTTATCTATCTGTGACTCAAAAAATTTCTAAATTTTCTGAGGTGTTCTTGTTTGTTTAGTCCCCCAGATAAGTTTTTAGACTCAACCTCATTTCTACAAATAGATTTTCTTAAATTTTTATTGGAATTACTATAGTTTTAGAGTTTGATTTGAGGGAAATTGACATAATTACAATAAGTCATTTCATTTATCTAAGACATGGAATATCTCTTAGTAGTTCTTTAAAGAAGAGCTAGCTTCACAACTCTCTGTGTATGAAAGTTTAAAGCATTTTGGAGTATTTTTTGCAGACCTTCTTTTTGCCTTTTTTTTTTTAAGGTTCTCTTTGGAAAAGTGAAGAAAATTAAGCCTTCAGTGGATAAAAACAAAGTTTCTTTAGATCCTTCTCCTAACTTTGATTGCCATATGTCGAGAAATACACCTTCCCTGAAAGATAACATTGAACTACAAGCCTACAGTTCAGCAGTATGTTAACGTTTTAGTTCATTTGACTACTTGAAAGTCGCATAGTCACATTGTATGATACAAGACTTAAAATAACTTCCCAAAATACTAAAGGAAAAGCTCTTCATTCTTTCAATATAATACGACCTTAAATAAATGCTCCAACCAGTTGAGCCACCCGCCAGGGCAAAGTACAGTGTCTGCTTTTATTTAGATGTCCATAGATTAATTTCTGTCTTGCAAAGCATGACAACATTTTTAAACGAGGCTATTCTAAAATACTGTTAATTGATCCTTTGTACTTTGCAAAAAGAGAAATGACTTTTATATTGGTTATTACATGTGAAACGATAATTTCTATCATATGTTGCTGAGACAGTAGACCTTTAATCTTCTATAGAAGATTAAATTATATATAATACATATCATATATAACCATATATATGGTTAAATGAAGCTAAACCTTCTAGAAATAATATGTATCCCTCCACATGTAAAATGCATTAAGCTATAGTTATTTTCCTAATGAACTCTTCAAACCAAATGAAATGTAGTCTAGGATTCACAGCATATGCAAAACATTAAACCTTTAATGGTAAAATTATTTTTAAATTTAAAAACAGATTGTATCTGTTTCTGCTGACATTGGTAGCCTACCAAGGAAAAAATCTGTGGTGGGGAAAAAAATTTCATACATCTTCAAAAAAAAAAAAAAAAACAAGGTTAAAGAGGAAGGGGTGGTATATGGAATCAGATGAATAAATAACATTATGCAGTTTTATAGTTTTTTAGAAATATGAGCTTATGCAAGTCTGTTAAAATTAATCACATAAAAATGTTTTTTTTATTTTTTAGGTGTACTTCTATGAATATAATATTCTTTCGAATCCAGTAGATAAACCTAGGCAGTGTCTTCCATATGCAATAGTAACAGTAAAATTTATTGGTCAAAAAGTAGGTAATGGACACCTTATGACATCTTTGAGATTCCTCTCAACAGGATTTCCTAAGAGAGCTGGTAAGATACAAATATTATTCATTATGAATCTCTAAGCAAAATAGTTGTGCTTTACCTATTTTTAGTTTTCTGTATCTAAAATTTTACTGCAGATATTTTTGTAACTTATTTTGCTCAGTATATTCCATGTTGATGTATAACTAGTTTTTTTTGTTTTCATTTATGTATATGCGTACACACACACATTATTCTATTTTCCGACTATACACTATTCCTCTGGGGATATTTAGACACTTTCCAGTTTTATTCATATTCCAGACATTGCTATTTTAGACATTTATGTTAAGTGTCTCAGTACATATGTGCAAGAGATTTTCTGTGGAGTATGTCCACATCAGGAATTTGCAAGGCAATTCAAAGACGATGTCAAGTGGTTTTCGGAAGTGGTTGCATCAGGTTACACATTTACTCTATATCCTTGCTAATACATAACTTTAAAAATAAATGTTTGTTTCTGCCAGACTAGTGAGTGTGATATGTTACTATTACCACCTCTAAAAGAAACACTACCCTTTAAAAGCTATTATATCCATTTCCCTTCATTTCCCCTAACCCCAAAGCACTCACTAATATGCTTCTGTCTCTATAAATGTACCTATTCTGGGCATTTCATGTAAGTGAAGTCAAATATGTGGCCTTTTGTGATTGGTGACTTAACAGTGTTTTCCAAGTTCTTGCATGTTGTAGTATGTATCAGTTCTTCATTTCTTTTTATGCAAGAGTGTCCCATTGTATAGATAATACTACATTATATTTATCCGTTTTTCATTTAATGGACTTTTGGGTTGTTTCTACTTTTTGACAATTATGAATAATTCTGCTATGAACGTTCTCGTACAGGTTTTGGTTTAGACCTGTGTTTTCATTTCTCTTGGGTATATAAATAAGGAGTGGAATTGCTGGGTCATGTGGTACTCTGTGTTAACCATTTGAGGAATTGCTATACTGTTTTCCAAGTAGCTGCACCATTTATGTACACTAGCAGTGTATGAGGTTTAGGATTTTTTACTTCCTTGTTAACACATGCTGTTATCTGACATTTTTATTATAGCCATCCTGTTAGTTGTGAAGTTTTCAGGGTTAAATTTTGCATTCTTCTGTTGAATTTATTCCTAAGTATTGTATTCTTTTTTATTCTGTTGTAAATAGAATTATTTTCTTAATTTGATTTTTGTTTTGTTCATTGCAAATATATAGGAATACTGTTGATTTTTGTGTGTCCTACAACCTTGTTTATCTTGATATTAGTTCTGCAAGTTTTTAGTGGTTTACTTACACAAAATCAAGTCATCTGCAAATAGAGATAGTTTTAATTTCTTTCCAAACTGGATGCCTTTTATTTCTCTTTCTTGCCTAATTGCCCTGAAAAGGATTGCCAGTGGGATGGTTAATAGAAGTTCCTGTCATGCCTGGCCAGTGTGTCCCAGTGGATTGAGTGCTGTCCCATGGACTGTGAGGTCCTGGTTGGATTCCCGGGCAGGGCACTTGCCCAGGGTGTGGGCTCGATCCCCAGTAGGGGGCAGGCAGGAAGCAGCCGATGCATGTTTCTCTCTCACATTTGTTTCTATCTCTGTCTCCCTTCTGCTCTCTCTTAAAAAAAAAAGTTCCTGTCTTATTCCTGAACTTAGAGGGAAAGCTTCCATCTTCCACCAGTATGATGTTAGCTGTTAGGTTTTTTGATGTCCTTTATCATACGGAGCAAGTTCCCACCTATTCCTAGTTGTTGAATGTCTTTATCATGAAAGGGTGTTGGGTTTTATTAAATGCTTTGCTGGGTCTTAGATGATTATGTTATTTTTATTCACCCTATTACTGTAGTGTATCACAATAATTGATTTTCAAATGTTAAGCAAACCTTGCATTCCTGGGATAAATCTCATTTACTTATTGTGTATTCTTATTTTTATTTTTTAAAATGTTTTTATTGATTTTTTTATTATTATTGATTATTTATTATTATTATTTTTTATTATTATTATTGATTTTTATTGATTATCCATTGGCTGTCTCCTGCATGGCCCCTACTGGGGATCAAGTCTATAGCCCGGGCATGTGCCCCAACTGGGAATTAAACCGGGACCTCTCAGCCCATGGAATGCCACTCAATCCACTAAGTCACACCGGCCAAGCTCATGGTGTATTCTTCATTTTATAGTTGCTACTAATTTGTTGACATTTGTGTCCATGTTCATAAGAGATATTGATCTATAGTGTTCTTGTGACGTCTTTGTCTGGTTTTGGTATGAGAGTAATATTGGTCTCATAGAATGATTCAGGAGGTATTCCATCCTCTTCTATTTTTTTTGGAAAGAACTTGTGAAGAATTGGCATTAAGTCTTCTTAAAACATTTGTTAAACTTTACTAGTGAAGCCATCTGGGCATGGGCTTTTCTTTGTAGGTAGTTGTTTTTTTTTTGTTTTGTTTTGTTTTACTAATTCAATTCCTTCACTTATGTAGGTCTATTAAGATTTTATGTTTCTTCTTGTATCGATTTTGGTGATTTTGTCCTTGTAGGAATTTGTCCATTAAATCTAACATGTCCATTTTATCTAATTTATTGACATACTGTTGTTCGTAGCATTTTTTACAGCACTTTATTTCTATAGGGTCAATAGTAATAGCCTGTCATTAGTATTTTAATTTGCATCTGCTGTCTATTTTTTCTTGGTCAGTCTGGTTAAAGGTTTGTCAATTTTTTATATTTTCAAAGAACCCACTTTTGGTTTTCTTGTTTGTTTGTTTGTTTTCTCTTACTTTCCTCTAATCTGTATTTACTTCCTTCTATCTGCTTTAGGTTCGGTTTGCTCTTCTTTTTCTGGTGTCTTACGGTGGAAGATTCGGATGTTGATTTGAAATGTTTCTTTTTTTACAATATATGTATTTATAGCTATAAATTTTACTGTAAATATTGTTTTAGCTGCATTCCATATGTTTTGGTATGTTGTGTCTTTATTTTCATCTGAAGATATTGTCTAATATCCCTTTGACTTGTTATTTAACCCAGCGGCTTTTTAGAAATATGTTGTTTAACTTCTATATATATGTAAATTTCCCAAATGTTTTTCTGTTGATTTCTTATTTCCTTTCATTATGGTTGGAGAACACAATTTGTATTGTTTTATTGTTTTAAATTTTTTAAGGTTTGTTTTATACCCCAGCATATGGTCAGTCCTAGAGAATGTTCCATGTGTACTTAAGAAGAATGGATATTTTGCTGCTGTTGGGTAGAGTGTTCTGTAGATGTCTATTAGATCTGTTTGGTTTATAGTTAGCTCAGTTTTCTAGATGATTGCTGCCTCATTCTGTCTACATTATCCTTCAGTTACAAGGCTTAAAATTGAGACGATAGTTAAGGACCTTTCCCCTACTTCTACTCTAGTTCATACATAGTCTTACAGCTTATTACTTTAATCAAAGGATGATGCCTGTCAAGATGATAAACTTTAAAGCCCTGACCAGTTTGGCTCAATGGTTGGAGCATTGGCCTGCGGACCAGAGAGTCCCAGGTTCCGTTCCCGCTAGGGGCACGTACCAAAAAAAAAGATGATAACTTTGAGAAATACCTATACTGTGCCCAAAGTAAAGCTATATATGTTGGTCATCACCATACTCATCTCCCTATAGAATACTCTATACCCTTGCCATCCTGTACAGTAGTCTAGTCATTAGTTAACATGTGGCTATTAAAATTAAAATTAGTTAAAATTATGTTAAATTAAAATTTTAATTTCTCAGTTATACCAGGCATATTTCAAGTGCTCAGTAACCACATGTGTTTATTGGCTACAATAATGGATAGCACTGATAAAGAACATTTCCATCATCACAAGATATATGGTACTAATAACTACTTGGTAGTTATTACTGATTGTAATTTCATTTTGTTGCAGTTTCTTATATTATTGAAGATGTTTGTCTATTTTTCATGTGTTATTTAGTGAGAATTCCAAAAATAATAAATGTAAAATGCCTTTATTAAGTTTAAACAACTAGTAATTAAGGTTCTATTGCTTATAAACTGTGATCTTGGGCAAATCACGTCTTTTTTGTTTTTCTTTATTGAGAGAGAACATCAAATGGCTGCCTCCTGCACGCCCTCCACTGGGGATTGGACCCACAACCTGGGCATGTACCCTGACCAGGAATCAAACCAGCAACCTCTTGGTACATGCGTCCACGCTCAACCACTGAGCCACAGCAGCTGGGCTATTTTCTTTATTAGATTCCACATACGAAAGAAATCATATGGTACTTGGTTTATTTCACTTAGGTAAGATTTCCTTTTTTTTTTTTTAATGGCTGAGTAGTAGTCCATTGTGTAGATGTACCACAGTTTTGTTTTTTTTTTGTTTTGTTTTTATCCTCACCCGAGGATTTTTTTTTTTTTTTTATCCTTACCCAAGGACATTTTTCCATTTTTTGTACAGATAGAGTGGGAGGGAGAGAGAGGGAGGGGGAGAGAGAGAGAAATATCGACGTGAAGGGACACATAGAGTGGCTGCCACCTGTACGACCAACCAGGGCCGGGGACAAACTGCAACCGAAGTACATGCCCTTAGCGGGAACCGAACCTGGGTCTCTCCAGACTGCAGGCCGACGCTCTAACCGCTGAGCCAAACTGGCCAGGGCTTCTTTTTTTTTTTTTTTTTTCGTTTATTTTCAGATAGAGAGGGAGGGAGAGAGAGAGAGAAACATCGATGTGAGAAACACATCAACTGGTTGCCACCCACACACAACCAGGCCTGGGGACAAGCCACGAGTGAGGTACGTGCCGTTAGCGGGAACTGAACCCGGGACTCTGGTCTGTGGCCCAACACTCTAACCACTGAGCCAAACTGGCCAGGATGTACCACAGTTGTTTATCCACTCATTTTCTGATGGGACTTGGGCTCTTTCCAAATCTTGACTATTGTAAATAATGCTATCATGAACATAGGGGTGCATATATTATTTCAAATCAGTTTTTCAGGTTTCTTCAGGTATCTTCCCAGATGTAGAA